TGTCATTCAAACTGCCACATAGGGCTACCTTTTCAGAAGGGTGAATCTTAGACTAACAACAAAGGCCTATTAAGGGAAGACTTGTGGTCAAGGAAATAGAATTGCTGACTTGGATAAAGACTAACATTGCAGTTTGTTTGGCTAAGGGATTAACCCTAGGAATACAGGTTCACTTTCAGCCTTGTTACAGAGATTGTATGGGACCCAGTCACGACAAGTTCAATAGAGGCCTGAGTCTCAGCAGTTTACCTGAGGCAATACCTGGTTCTGAGAAAGACCACAAACTGAGACCACCCAGGCGCTACCCAGGAACAGACCATCCAAAGGAAATTCCTAAAGTTCCAACTGATGTAGATAGGATCACCTGCCAGCATACACCCATCACTTTTCACCAGGACACCCCTAGACAAATGTCAGCCAATCAGGGGTCCCAAACCTTAGAAATCCTTCACTTTCACCTTTGCTACTATAACTATAAAAACCCAACTCTAACTGAGCTAGGGGCTCTCCAATCACTTCAGTGTGTTGGACACACAGAGAGACCAAGTTTACAAACTTATGTAAGAATAAAGGCTCTTTGTTTTTACATACAGGACTCGGTCTCCTGGTTTGTTTGTGTGTGGGGAGAATTCTGTGATCTGGGTATAACAATTGGAAGAATAATTAGTCCTTTAATGAGAAAATGTGATTTCCCTTTCAAGTATCACCTCTAGCATACACGCTTCCAGTAGTTAAGAATGGAGAGTAGAATATACTTCTAATGGGGTGATGTGTTTGCTTATTTTTGGTAGTTTAACATACATTGTTTGATATAGGTACCTGCAAATAGGCTAAAACTTTATAGAACTAACTGTATGTAAGCATATCCAGGTAAAACTGGAAATGTCTAAACTCAGATCAATATCTATCATTGGTAACTATATTCTGGTTATTATATAATAATTTTGCGTATGTTAGCATTTTTCAAAATTGGACGAAGCACACATTGGATTTCTATGTAATGCTTCTTATAACTGCATGTGGATTTACAATTATTTTAAAATTAAAACAAATATTTTTAAAGACAAGAAAGGAAAAATCCCATTCATTCTGAATCTATGGTGCATTCCCCCCACCCTGCCCCCACAGAAAGAAACTCCTAATTTATTGTTATAGTCCACATGAGAAAGTTACTTACCACCACAAGGCAAAATAAAAGTATTGTTTAAAGCTGATGACCAAGAGCAGGCTCCTGCCACAAGGAACTCTTGGTCCTAAGCAAAGCACTGTAGGGTTTATTAAGGCACAAACCAAATTGCATCTTACTAGAGGCAAGAAGAGGGTCAAAACTTTCGATGGTTTTTAGCTTAGTTGACTAAAAGAATTTGTTTTATACTGTAAAAAAATGATGGACCTCTTGAAGCTGCAGATGCAGATTTAGGCAATTTATTATAATTTACTGAAATTACAGAGAACCTAAGCCACAGTTTTGAAGCAGAAAAGTAGGCTTCTCCTGTTTACCTTTTTGTGTATGTTGCTACTTGATGGTGGTCATGTTTTTGCTGTTGTTGTTGTTGTTTGAATTTTGGATCTCCCACGTACTAGGCAGCCTATTTCCCAGATTGGTTCATACCCAAGTATTTTTAATTCATTTTTTAAAGATAAGGTTTTGATTAATTTATTCAGGCTGGTCTAGAGGTCACTCTGCGCTCGAAACAGGTCTTAAAGCTGTTGTCTCAGTCTCCCAAGTACTTGGCATATTATGGACCTATTTTACTAAGTCAGAATGCACCAAATATTTTGGGTTCAGACAAGATCTCTGATATTGTCATACAATAATTTGTTCACTTTTGGTTTTGGTTTAGTTTTTGGAGACAGTGTCTTATTATGTAGCCTTAGCTGGCCTGAAACTCACTATGTAGACCACGCTGACCTCAAACTCAAGGAGATCTGACTGTCTTTGCCTCCTCACTGCTGGGGTTAAAGTCAAGTACTGCTATACCTGACTATACATTTATTCAAATTGAGAAAGAAAGTCAGATTTCATACTGCAAAAAATGGCTCTAGAACTGAGGACATGACTCAATAGTTAAGGTGTTTGCCTCATAAGCTTGAAGGTGGGAGTTCAGATCCCCATCATCCATGCAAATGCTGGCTGGGCATGACAGGCTACCTGTAGTTCCAACCTTAAGAAACAGAGACAGGGGAATTCCCTGGAGCAACAAACTCTGGCTTTGATTGATATACTCAGCTTATTTAAGGTGGAATTCTGTTGGACAATGACCTCAGGCCTCCACTTACACACATACAAGTTCATATGCAACCACACATATGTGAACCCAAACACATTCAAAAATATACATACAGGCATGGATACTCTATACACATACAAAAATGGAAAAACAAAAAATGGATAGCTTAACCATATTTGCCATTTTTCACAAGGACTAGTTTTCTAAAAAAGTAATCTGTTGACAATTTGCCATTGACCTATATTTATTGCAGCAAGATATAAAAAAATAATGAAGTCACAATAAAATATGTGGCACATGATATTGTCCTTGGCAAAAAAAGAAAAAAAGATATCAGATGGCTATTTTCAAAAATTGTTCTGAGGGTCTAGAGAGATGACTCAGCAGGTAAGAACACTTGTTGCTCTTCCACAGGACCAGGGTTGGAGTCTCACCACTCACCTGCTAACTTACAGGCTTCTGTATCTCCAATCCCAGAGGCTTTATCACCCTTTTCTGGTCTCCTTGGCTGCTGCATGCATGTGGTACACAGGCATATATGCAGGTAGAACACCCACACACATAAAATTAGAAGATTAATAAAATTAAATAAATTATTTTGAGAGCCATGGGAACAAGAAAAATATTATCAAAAGCCCCTGATTAATTTTTCAAGGGTAGCTATATTGCTTTTGTAAATGCAGTTTTTACTGGAAGGTAGTAGTTGAACTTAGCAATGGGTTGCACAGAGGCATTTTCATATTTCATATAATTTAATCACATTAATTCCTCCAAATTTATACCTTTCTTCTTACCCCTCCAACTTTGCTTCTCTATGGGAGTCTCACTTGTACTTATGTGTATATGCTTTTACATATCTCTATAAAACCTAGGATCCATAAATGATGGAAACACAAGATATTTGTCTTATGGTTGAGTCTGACTTTTTAAGGTGATTATATCCAGCTGTATTTATTTTTTCTACAAGTGCCATGATTTCACTCTCTTTTATAATTGAATAAATGTCCATTCCTAGCTATGAACCCTGAGGTATATTAAATTAATATCCTTTAGAAATACTTGCACATAAATGTTTCTCGTGAAATCATTCATAGTCGCTTATTTATGCAATTAGCCTAGGAGTTCTTAGTGGTTGGATGGAGGAAATCCCATGTTTTCAAAATTTCCTGTGTTGTTCCATTTGCACCAAGTAATGGTCCACATAAAGACACCTTTAAACATTATCAGTCTCCTGATTCTGATGGACCTCAGCAAAAAGGGTCTCTACTCTGCTCGTACTGTCTTCTTTTTTACTGTTTGGAATTCACCAGGAAAAGCAGTGAAATTAGATTTGATTAATGCCTTTTCTTTGAAGAAAGGAAAGAAAACTAATTATACCTTTTAAAAAATATCCATTCATTTGTTTGTATGTGTCCTTTTGAGTAGGTAGGCCAGAGGACAGTGTGTGAGAACAGTTTCTTTCCTTCTACTCTGTGACTCTCAGGGATAAATTCCAGCCATCAGCCTAAGAATTCAACACTTTTACTCAGTTCATCTTCTGGCTTTAAGTACATTTTAAAGGGATTTTTTTCATGCACACTTTAAGCAGTTCTACTATCTTTAATCCAGTAAAAAGCTAATACCATTTCATGGTGATTTACATTTATATATTTTCTTCAAAATTCTTCGGAGAGTTAATATTGACAGTGTCATAGTTTGGTGTTTAGATTGCAGGTGACTATGTGGAAATAAAAAGAAAAAAATGTCAAGAAGTAGAAAATGAGAAGGCAGACTTTCTTACTTAGTATTTTAGCAACATGTACCCAATGATAATTATTATAATCAGTAATATTTCAACATTGTAAAGTGTTCCTGTATTATCTGAATGCAGCCTGTTCATAGTCTTATGCAATTTGAAGGGATTTGCATTTCCATTTTCAATACGTGCAATGCAAACTTCAGGGGTTGTGGTTTAGGTAAAGGGAAAAAATTGTGAAAGAAATCAACAGCAACACAAAACAGAAAAGCACTATGGTCACATGGAAAATGTCAGGAAGACAAGTAAGCCATAACCGCAAAGTGGCTACAGATGGCAGTCAAAAACGGAGATCATACAGGGAGGCTTTTCAGGAAAACACAAATAATTACAACTACAGATGGGTAGTTAGTGATGGAAGAAGAAAAAGGGGGCATTGGGGCAAGAGAAAAATTCCAAATACCCACTCAACCAAGCCCTAAATAGATAATTGGGATGCATTAATGTGTGGTAGGCACAAATTTCTACCTGCCTGGAATTTTAAACTTTTGTTTCATGAATGATGGGCAATGAAATAACCAGTAGGATGTGAATAAAGGGTACTGTGTTCGACTGGATTGTACTAAGAAAAAGAAAAAAATATATAATCAGTATTGTGGGATAAAAGTTGAACAATAAATGATTAGGGCTTTGTCCACTAAGTCTGACACTGGCCATAGATTTACCTATTTATTTGCTGGTAACTAACACTTTCCATAACCTAACACTAGCCCTAACCCTAGATCTAATCATAACCCCTACTCCTAGCCCTACTCCAATCCCCAATCCCCAAAGCAGGTGAGTGAGCATATAATCTAAACCTGCTGGTACTGCGGTCTGGTCATTGGTCTCGAGGTGCAGTGGAAGTTAGGAGCCTCGAGGTAGAGTCTATAGTGGAAGGGTTCGAGACAAGTCAGCTGACCCTGCAAAGCCAATCAGAATACTGCAGCGGCTGCTTTAAATAGGAGAAGGAACCGTTGAGGGGCAGCCGCCACCAAAGACTATGGCGTGCCCACCACCGGCAACTCCTCTCCAGAAATGAACGGCTGCCACTGCTGAGGGAGTGGATAAGTCAAGAAAACTTTCCGGATCCGCCAAGGTAAGTAAACTCTAATAGTCTCTTTTAATTCATTAAACTTGTTTGGGGCTAAATGGCAAGGGTAGAGTGGTTAGTCTATGATCTGGACGGATCCCTCAGTGGTCCCAGCCTGTGTGAGGGGTCAGTTTCTTCAAGTATGTAACTAATCATCTCCCACTTTCTCTTTAAAGTTCTCTATACATCCTTTCACCCCCTCTTCCAAGATTTATATTCCTGAGCCAGGCGTGGTGGCATTTCCGGGGCCTTAAGAGGATTTTGAGGTCTGCGTCAACTGGGATAGCGAACGTGGTGAGACCTTAACTCAAAAGAATCATATTCCATAGTTACATCTTAAGTTTCCTAGACCATTAGTTTGTATGTGTTGGCCTTTTCCAACAGCAAGGAATAAATTGTATAGGTATTTCTTTCCATTTCTATTGTATTCAATATCTTAGTTTGCTAGACCATTAGTTTGTATGTGTTGGTCTTTTCCAACAGCAAGGACTGAATTGTATAGGTATTTCTTTCCATTTCTATTGTATTCAATACTTTAAAATCTATGCCCACCTACCTGCTGTAAATAAGTGCAATTTCATTTCCTATAATGGGCTCTTTAGGACAGATGGTTGCTCCCAGTGTCACTGTGTATCTACTCATTGGTTTTCTGTTTCTTTATACTGGGATTACAGATGTATGCTTCCAGACCTACCATTTTAATCCTGATTTTATGAAATGATTTTAGACTTAAAATCTTAAAAGTGTAAGATTACCCTCCCCTAGGATATTAACATGGTTCATGTGCTGATAAGTTAACTACAGATTTCATTTGCTTTTAGTGAGTTACTTAAGTAATGTTTTCTTTGTATTCCAGGATATTAGTCCAGATACTTCATTGAATTTGTCCAGAATTTCTCCATAGTCTCATCTAAACTGGCAGGTCTTCAATCTTCTCTGGATTCACAACTCTGACACATCTGAAGATTACTGGTCAGTCACTTTTTTTCTCAAAATTCTGACAGTTTTATTTCATTTCAACTTTTCTTACATAATGTACACAGTGCAAGGTTTTCATATGACATTTACACAAAACACTACACACACATATACTTGTATATATGTATATAAAGTATATAAATATATGTATATATTATATATGTTATATTTATATGTGTATATATACATATGTGTTCTATGTGTGTATATTTACATATTATATAATATTATATCACATTGTACATTATATTGTACACTATATTATACGTTATATATTATATATCACATATTGTATGTTATAGTATATATTATATACCATATGTTATGTATTGCATATTGCATGTTATATGCACTATATTTATGTGTATTACAATATGTCTTATAATATAAGTAAAAGGAAGAATGTTTGAGTGGAGCAAGGGGACTTGTAGAAAAAGGCACTGCAGTATTTGTCTTCTTAAAACCTCTAATTGTGTGTGTGACTGTGCTTTCTTCCTACGTTCTACCCAGCATTTGTTATTTGTTTTCTTGATGGGAACCATTGTGATGGGGGAAGGTACAATTTCAGTATGCTTTATATGAGCATTTATCTGATGGTTATGGGTAGTTAACATTTCTAAATGCATTTATTAGCCATATTCCTTCGAGAACTCTCCACTTCATTCATTATTTGTTGGTTCCTTTATTTATTAATATTTGTATTTCTTTATAGATTGTAGTTATTATTTTTGTCAGGTCCGTAGCTGGAAATGATTGTTTCTGTTCTGAGATTTGTCTCTTCACTGCTACTTGTTTCCTCTACAGAAATTTTTTTCAAAAAGCTGTCTATTGTTTATGTGGATGAGTATTTTGCCTTTACGTATGTTTGCCCACCGTGTGTGTTCTTGGTTCTGTAGAGGCCAGAAAAGGGTGTCGGGTCTCCTAGCATTGGAGACATCGACTGTTGTTAGCTGCCACCTGGGTGCCAGTAGTTGAACCTGGGTCCTCTGCGAGAGCAGCAAGTACTGTTAACCACCTAGCCATCTCTCCAGCCCTTTCTACAGAATATTTTTAATATCACTTTTGATTGTTGTTCCCTGAGATGTTTACAGAGTCCTCTTTAAAAAGTCTTTGCAACCTGGCAGTGGTGGCACAGGCCTTTAATCCCAGCACTTGGGAGGCTGAGGCAGGTGGATCTCTGTGAGTTTGAGGCCAGCCTGATCTACAAGAGCTAGCTCCAGGACAGGCTCCAAAGCTACAGAGAAACTCTGTCTTGAAAAATCAAATAAATAAATAAATAAATATAAAAAGTCTTTGCTGCGCCAGGTGTTTTCCTCATGTTTTGTTAGAGATTTCAGCATGTCCCATCATTCATTAGGATCTTTGTTTAATCTATTTTGATTTAGTTTTGGAGGAGTGAGGGACAGAAATGAATGATCATACATTTAGATCTAGTTAGCCAATTTTACCAGATCCATTTGTTGAAGCAGTTTTCTTTATATTTATTTTTTTGGTTTCTTGAAAAATATATAAGTGGCTGTGGCTGTATTGTTACATTTTCGAGTCTTCTATTCCAGGAGTCTACATATCTTTTCTTGTAGATGAATTTGGTTTGTTGTTGTTATTGTAGGATTTTTTTTGTTTTTTTTTCTTTTTGCTAGCTCCATAGTGTATCTGAGAGCAGGTGTTGTGCCACCTCCAACATTGATGTGGCTACTTATGTTCTTTTCTTCTTGTCCATGTATTTTAGGACTTTGTTTTCTTTTGAGACAAATAGAATTGGGATTTTGCAAGGCATTGCATTGCATCTGTACATAACATTCAGTAACATAGCCATTTTGTTCATCTATGTGAATGGGAAGCTTCTTACTCTTCTAGTGCCTCTAAATTTCTTTCATTGTTGAAGTACTTCACTCATCAGTTAGATTTATTCCTAGGTAGTTTAAATTTTTGAAACCAATTACTGTGCTTGTGTTTCTGTTTTATTTCTCAGTATTAGGGGTTTTGGTCACTATGAAATGGGCAGTTTTTTTATGTTGTTGTGCACCCTGCTTCCATGGTGAAAGGGTTCAGCACATCTTAGTGTTTATGTTTGAATGTTTGTATTCTTTTAATCACATAAACATGCCACTTGTTAATAGAGATTATTTAATCTCCTTTTCATTTGCTTTATTTCTCTCTATTGATTCTTTGTGGGTTTCTCATCAGGCATTCCGATCCCTCTTATCTCCTTTTCCCCTTGCATCTGCCCTCTGCCCTTGCAACCCACCCAATCAAAACCAAATTTAGAAGACAAACCAAGCAGAGCAAAGAAACAAACAAAACAAAATATAAATAAATAAAAGAGAGAAGAATCTTGTTGTGGAAGCTGTAGTGTGGCCCACTGAGTCACACAGTTTACCCTTTAGTTCATTCATCATTTAAGTGTTCACTGCTATAATTTGTTGGTCTGGTTCGAGGCCTCTGGCCTCTGCTACACCACTGATAATGGGCTCTCATTGGGGCTCCTCTTGGATATCCTGAAGTTGTCCTGGGTTCTGGAGAGCCTGCTGTTTTGGATCTGTAGGTTCATCCCCTTCACATGCTCCAGAAGTTCATAGATAAGGTGGATGGGTTCATAAATGAGGTGGGCTAACTCATAGTGCTGGTTCTGGGCCTGGGGGTGAGTAGGGACTGGTAGCTGGATTGGCCAGCGCCCCTTCCTTCCCTCATCAGCACTACCAGGCAAGCTCCCCAACACTGCCTCGGCTAGCTCACCCAATGCAGCCTGCAGCAAGGAGAGGGGCCAGTTTTCCTGCTCTCGGGGCCTCAGATCCGGTCTCCCACACTCACATCACAGGGCAAGCTCTAATGTTTTGCCCAGGCAAGGTGCAGTGCCCTCTTTCCCAATTGCTGTAGGGGACATATGAGGCCGGTCAGGGTCAGATCTCCTGCTCTCAGGCCCTCAGGGTTAGCTCACCTTTGTCCCAGACCACAGAGTCAGCTCTAGTGTGCTGCCCAGACAGGGAGCAGGGCCTGCTCTTTCTTACACTACAGCTGCTGTGGGTTAGGGCTAGCTCTCCCACTCTCGTGAACCCAGGGACAGTTCTCTCACCTGCTGCAGGTGGTAATGGGTGAGGGGAGAGGGAACTTTTCTCTCACCCATGCCACCATATGACAGATGAGAGGAGGCAGGGTCAGGTCTCCTACTCTCATGCCCTCAGGGTCAGCTCACCTGAAGCTGGTAAAGGGGGAGGGCATCATTCTCTCTCTCACCCATGCCACCATGTGACAGATGAGAGGAGGCAGGATTAGATCTCCTGCTCTCATGCCTTTAGGGTGAGCAATCCTGCTTCCTGACCGCAGGGTCAGCTATAGTGTGCTGCCCAGGTGAGGTGCACACCTGTGGCGGTGGGCGGCATTTTACCTGTGTTGGGGTGAGCTCTCCCTATAGGGGTAGAGCCAGCTCCCCTGCTGTAATATCCAGCTATCCCAGGGCCAGTGGAGGGTGAGGCTTGCTCAGCACAGCATGGTTCCAATGATTCCTTCTGCTAACATAGGCCATAGGCATCTTCACAGACCCCAGCTGCAGCAGGATCATGGACCCAGACATGGCCCTGGGCAGTGGCCAGTGCCAAACATCTCCATGGCTTCAGGTGGCAGTATCAGCCACCCAGATCAGTAAGGCCCTGACAGCAGCATGGTCCTTAGGCACCAACATTGTCTGAGGTGGCTGACCAGTGTCCGGTCATCTACTTGGCTCTCGGTGGTAACAGGAACCCCAGACATCAACCCAGACTCTGGTTGTTGTAGGGACAAGGACCCAGACATGGCTCTTGCAAGCAACCCTGGCCTGGACAATACCATGACTCTGGGTGCCAGCACACCCACTCAGATCATGATGTCCCTGGTAGCAGAATGGCTCTCAGACACCCTGATGGCCGTAGGTTACAGCTCAGACCCTGACTGTGGTAGGAGCACAGATCCCAACATGTTCCTAGGCAGCAGCCTGTACCCATGATTCTAGGTGGCAGTCCAGGCTACTTGGACCAGCATGGCTCCTGTGGCAGCATGGCTCTTGGACACCAACACGGCCTCAGGTGGTGGCCCAAATCACATGCCCCTCCCCTGCACAGCCCCCAGCCCCAACAGGAGCCACAGACTTCATCTCAACTCCCCTCGGCTGCTCCAGGACCCCAGAACAAGACTTGGCCCTTGCTCATAGCCCAGGCCTGGACATCTCCCTGGACTCAGGTGGTCAACTGACCATTCATATCAGCTCGCTCTTCACCACCCTCACCTCTCCAGATCTGCCTTTCTCCCCAGCCCATGAGCCAGTCCATCTCCCACTCTTCCACCTCCCCACCCTGCACTCTCTCACTGCAATAGTGTCTGATCACTCAGGGTTGGGATTCTTGCTTGGGTCACAGGTGGTGCTTGGTTGAGTACTGCCTGCCCTCAGCCACAAGGCATGGCACGGAGCTGTTGCCTTTACTCTCTCTTGTGCCTGGGCCTAGAAAACTCAGGCAGTGCTTGGTATGCTGGCACCTGATTGATTTGCTGGTTGGGCTGTTGGTTGATTCTGACCTCCCTAGATCAAAAACTCTGGGAGGGTACCATCTGTTTCCTCTGCCTATTCAGGCCTGGAATTAGCTTCTTGTGTAACACGAGGGGGCCAGCTTGTTGGGGTATCTGTCCCACCACCCCACAGCCGGCAAGCCCCAAAGGAAAATCACACACAGGACTCCATAAGATTATGAACTGATTGGCCCATTAGCTCAGGTTTCTTGTTAACTCTTATAGCTTATATTAACCCATTATTCTCATCTATGTTAGCCATATGGCTTGGTACCTTTTTCAGCTGTCAGCTTACATGTTGCTGCTTCGGTGGTATGTGCAGGAGTGGCAGAGGGAGCTTCCTGTTTTCCCAGAATACTCCCAGTCTCTTTGCTCCACCCCTACTTCCTGTCTGGCTTTCCTGCCTATACTGCCTGCCTGGCCAATCAGTGTTTTATTAAAATATGATTGACAGAATACAGACAATTCTCCCACACCATTCTTGTTTTATCCCATTTATTTTCTTTTGCATTATTGTTGTGGGCAAATCCTTCAAGCAGCATATTGAAAAGGGTTTTACAAAGTGGATCCCATTGTTTTATTCTATGGCTTTAGATAAAGTGGTTTCTAGTCGTCACAATTTAGTATAATGTTAGCTATAGGTTTGTTATGTAGAACCATTTTATATTGAGGTGTGTTCTTAGAATCCTCAGGACTTTTGTCATGAACAGGTCTTTAGCTTTTTCAGTGTCTTTTCTGCATGTTTTCCCAGTTTTAGCAATGCCCTGCTTAAGCAAGCACATTTTTCTGCATGTTTTAGACCACCCTGTGGTCTCAGTTCTGAATGTATTTATGTGGTGTCTTGCCTTTATTGATTTGTGTAACTTCAATCACCCCTGACCCTGATAGAAACCAATTTAATTGTCCTTTTTTGGAGGGGGGTTGAAACACGGTTTCTCTGTAGCTTTGGAGCCTGTCTTGGAACTAGCTCTGTAAACCAGGCTGGCCTCAAACTCACAGACATCTGCTTGTCTCTTCCTTCCAAGTGCTGGGATTAAAGGTCAGCGCTACTACTGCCTGGCAATCATAAGGTTTTAATGTGGACTGGTGAGCATACTGCATGACCTGAGTTGAGCTAAGTCTTCTCAGAGTTCACCTTCATTATTTATTTATTTTTATGTTATTGATGTTTAAATGTAGAATTTGCTTGATTCTTTCGTTCAGTCCTAATGGTCTTTAACTGAGCTGATACTGATACCGTTTGCTGGTGAACCTTTCTACACGGCTTTTCGTTTGATTGTTTTATTTGTACTATTAATATTTATATTTTTTGTTTGTTTTCAGACTTTCAATTTCTTGCTGATGTTCTCATGTAGTTTTTGGTTTGCATCTTCATGTCTTTAGTTGGATTCCTTCACACGTTACTTGGAATCTTCTTAGAAATCACTGAAATTTTTTTCACACATAGTTTGCATTCTTAGCCCAGACTTTCAATCACTTCATTGCCTTTAGTTTCATCATTTGAGCGGTTATGATTATTTTCCCTGCTTTTCCTATTACTTGTGCTATGATTTCTACATCAGTTCCTGTTGGTTTCTCTTCAAGTTTCATTGGGTGAGGCTAGCGAGCAGCCTACCGTTCAGAGAGGACAGAAATAAATACTATAACAGCTGTAACACCAATATAGACCATGACTATAAAGAGACATAAAATTAATTAAATCCAACTACCACAGCACAAATGAGAATAGAACAGGATCAAAAATAGTGTGCAGTGAACTATGGAACACGGCTCCAAGTGGATATGTAGTCAATGAAGTAAATGAACTGAGCAGGGTGGGAGGGAGCCTAAGAAGAAGCAATGTTGAATGACAAGAAGGAAAATGGAGACGAAAAGAAGGGAAGCATATTAGGAAGAGGAGGGGAAAGAGAAAGAGATAATGATAGGCATGCATAGTTACAAACGTGTGAACAAAATGAGGACAGTGTACGGAAAGGAATAGCAGCTTCGAGGTTTGAAATGCTGTAAGGTGTAAGTGATACAGAAGCCTAGCAGAAAGAAAAAGAGGTAACACAATGGGCAAGACCAAAACTTTTTTTAAGTGTCCAAGTCTTAGAGATGCTTATTTCCAGGTCCACTAATATTGGAGCCTGCCAGTTGGACTTGGTGGGGAACTAAAATTGGATTATCTTTCTGGAAATTGTTTATTTTTAATGTGTGTGCCCTTGCATTAGAAATTCATGTGCGCAGGGGCCCGTGGAGTTTAGAAGTGGAGCGAGTTCCTATGGTTGCGAGCTGCCAAGTAGGCTTTGTGAACCAAATCTGACCAGTGTTTTTTGTGAGATTAGTCCATTTTTAAGCTGATGAGCCATCTCTCCAGCTCAGAATTTGGATCATTTTACCCTTGGTAACTGTTAGGCTGGTGCTGAAGCCCCTACCAATCAAACTTAGTTGTCTAATGTAGCTGTCTTTCTTTTCAAAGCATCCCTTCTTTGTGTCCCAGGGACCTCTGGGCCACACATTGTTTTGCTGTCTCTGAGAAGAGTGGGTTCTCCCTCTCTCCAGAGACTCTCCGGTTTATAAATTCTGAGTGTGCTAATGTCGATGTCAGGGTGTATGTCACAAGTGGCCTTTAAGACTAGGAAAAGGAAATAGAACACTGAGATGTGTGTTGGGATTTTTGTCTTAGCGCATTCACTTCTCACCCAACAGTAGACCATCTGTGACAGGGAGGAGGCTGCTGCAACCTAAGGCCTACGTGAACCGGAAACTCAGGATTCTCAGTTTCACCAGCTCTGAACCAAAGGTAAGTGGCTTCAGATGGAGGACTGCTCCCCAACCTCACGCCTGGGATCATCAGTGTCCTCACAGGTGGCAGAGATTGCTCATTAATATACAAGTGGTGTGACCTCAGAGTGTTGGGGTCTTCAGTACCCGAGGATCTGCTGCCTGTGTTTTTCAGCGCTTCCTTGCCTGTCATTCACCCAACCCATCACTGCCTTCTACAGGTGTCTCCCCATGAAGATAGTGCAGCAGCCTCTCTCTAGTTCTTATTTACCAGAGTAGCTTTGTCTTAAATAGTCGGTTGCTCTCGAGATTGCACCTGGAAGGACCAAACTCTGGAACACTAGGAGTAAAAAAAATCAGACTCTTTTCTTCATGATCATTTGTCACGCATATGAAACCAGTGTCATCCCAGATTTCCCAGCTCAATTTAAGGATTGTGAAAATGGTAGGCATGTCCTGTCCCTAGAATCCCGAGTCTGAGGGATGAAATACTGGCTCGATGGTTAAAATATGCTCTTCCAGAGGACCTGAGTTCAAATCCAGTACCCACTTGGTGACTTACAACTGTCAGTAACCCCAGTTCCAGAGGATCCGGTGCCTTCTTCTGGCCTCCTCAGGTATTCAGAGACAAGTGCGGTGAGCAATCATATATGCAGGCAAAACATCCACACACAAGACAAAATTAGAATAAAATAAAATAGAAATATCAGTCTTTTTACCTGGGGTCTCCTCTTTTCCACTAGGATGAGTCTTTTCCCTTACCAGTCCTGACAGGAAGCTGATGTTGAAGTTTTTAGGAGCTAGCTGCTTTGGGCTTCCCGGCCTTTCTGTTTCTCCAAATTGTTCAGCTGTCCTGTAACATCTTTGCTAATTTCTGCTGCTTCAATGCTCTTATCCTGTCTTCTAAATAGAGTCCATTCTTTCTTATCATGACTCTTTCTTTTTATATGTATTTTCTTATTTATTTAGATACAGCGTCTGATGTAGCCCAGGCTGACCTCCAACTCCCTATGTGGTCAACAATGACCTTGAACTCCTGGCCCTCCTGTCTCCACCTCCCAGATGCTGGGATCATAAGTGTAGGCCACCATGGCTAGCTTTTATACTGGCTCTTTAATTCAGGATTTGACACGAATGCAGTTTCTAGTCTGCCAGCTTCACCCTGACTTTCATGACTTTTAATGGTTTGATTGAAACTATTCATTTTTGCCAAAAAATTACCTGTTTTTCTGTCCTCTCATTCATCCTACTTATGCAAGAGGGATGCCTTCCATTGGGTTGGTAAGTGTATGATGCCTGACACTGAACAGATAAATTACACAGACGCTTACTAGTAACATATACAGTCTAAGACTGGTGGATATCACACAGTAAGAAAACCTACAAAGTGGAAGAAAGTAAGCAAGCTATCACTGTGTGGACAATCTTAGTACTAACGAGGCAACCGAATAACCTGGTTAATACAAAGATGATTTGCCTGCTAGAACAATACTGTGGATTTGTGTGGAACTGAAATCTGCTACTCAGACATAAATAGACAGTGTGTTGCAGTGCACGTCATAAGTAAAGAGGCTACTTTAGCTAGGGATCATCTTTCTGTGGCGAACGGTGCAGAGGACAGCTCATTCTGCAGAAATCCACTTTGTTTTTCCTTCTGATGGCAAAGCAGGCATATTTTTGGTATTTCATTTTAAATCTCGTACCACATTGCCACAAAAATGATTTTGTTCCTTGTTTTGCTTCCTATCTGGGCAGTAATATCGCATACATATGTTGCATTACTGATAAAGTTTACTTTAACTCCATCATTAAATGTAATATTTATGTTGTTCCAGTGCGATGCTACTGTTATCTTCTTTAAAAAAATAACCTGGCGAAGGAAACAGTTTCAGATATAAAATACCCTTTGTCTTCTCAGACTCTGACTCACTACATTTAGAAAGTTTCTAGGGACCTAACCTGAAACAAATGTCACCTAACGGTGGTCTTCAGCTTTTCTCGTTCTTACCAGATACATTGATTGGAATTCCTTTAAAGAAGGAGCTATCTTTTCTTCACCCCTTCATTTAGTTGTTTAATTTATTTCTATTAATATATGGTTATGAGTAATTAATATACCTTACATTATAATCATATTAAAATATATTTTTTCCTTAAACTGTTCTAGCTTTGGTCATTGGGATTGCCTTTTCGTTAGCTTTATACCCACATCTCTTTCTTACACTCATTTTCTGTCACTATAAGAATTTCAAGGCCATCTTCTACATTTTCCCACCATGGTCTTAGATTAAGTCTACTTTCTGAAGGAGTCTTTTTTCCTCCTCTAAGAATGATAGAAACTAATGCCTTTGTATATCCTCATTTGAAATTGGCTTTCACTTGTGCTAGGTTCTGTCCATAGAGAGAGGTGAGATGCATATTGTGTTTACTTACCCATGTTTATATTAACACATGTTTATATATTTCTGCATTTAGCTGTATGTGTTGATACTAAAACTTAGGACTCAAATACATGAGATACCAATCTATTCTAGCCTTATCTGTAAGTTACTTTTTCTGATCTGCTTTGTATCATCTGTGACATATATCTTAATTTTTTTCATTCCTAGTTCATATATACAGGGTAGTTTCACAATTACTAGCCAACACCCCTGTTAGAAATGACTTATTGATAGATGTTTTTGTATAGTTCTTTCGGTCTTTATCTTTTTAAAAATATACACACAATAGAATGTTATTCAACCATAGGAAGGAATGAAGTATTGATACATGCTATCGCTTGGCTAAACTTCTAAAACATTATTAAGCAAAAGCAAGTCAAATGCAAAGACAAGGCATTTTATGCTACCACTCAGGTAAAATATCCAGAAGAGATAAGTCCATAGAAACAGAGAACAGGGCTTGAGGAAGGGAGAAATGAAGAGAAACCGCTTATACCATGCTCATCACTTCCAAGAGGAGCTCAGTCTTTATCTTGAAGAATAAAGTTAACTCAGTGTTTTCCAAAGTTTCTTCCCAAACCATTGTCTTAGTCATTCCTCTATTGTGTTTATGTTCATTTATTATATGGTTAGTTTAAGGACTGAGAATATGATCGGCTTGGTGACGTGCTTGTCACACAAGCACGAGGGGTCCTAAGTTTATCTCTAGCACTAATGTAAAATTTAGGCATGGCTGAGAGCATCCATAATTCCCTATGCTGGGGGAAATGAGAGAAAGACAGAGCCAAGTGCTCATTGGTCAGTCATCCTGGCCAAATCAATGAGCTCCAGTCTCAGTTAGAAACCTTATAGTCAAACATGAGGAGGAATGAGACAGAGGAAGAAAACTGATGTCAATGTCTGTCTGCCACATGCACACATGCACATACATACACATGCATGCACCCCCAAAACTATAATTAAATTTGTTAATGTTTCAGTTACCTCCATATTCTGTTCTTTAAAATTGTTTTACTTGTTCCTTGCTATCAACAGTGTGCTGGTTCCAGAAATCTGTCAGTGAGTTTTCACTGACATTCTGTAGAAGCTCGTGATCTTTGTATCATATGGTATAGTATTGGCATATAAGGTACTGTGTTCTTCATTGTACATTAATTCATCTATAAATTACTTAGAGTTTCCAATTCAGTGTAAATGCTACGTGAATTATTGTGCTATATTACCTAGGGAATAGAGGCAAGAAGACATCCTGTCCATATCCATTGCAGACAGGTTTTTCAGAATATTTTCTATCAGTGCTGGGTGGAATCTGTTAATAGGGTACTAAAAGTGCAAGAGGGCAATTGTGTTTGTGTTTTGGCTATGTGAAGATTACTATTATTCCTAAATCTCTGTTATAGAAGTCTCTATACTGGGGGAAGTACCACTCCTCTCTTCTACCCTCTTCTTATTTCCCGTTTCCTTCCTGTCCTCCCCCTGTAGGGATAGCCAGTGCATTCAGTCTGGACTCTTTCCTGTACTTTGCAGAAAGGAGAAATTACGTGTTATGTTATATTGTCTTCTTAATTAAAGGTAACATAAGATACATCATCCTTCTAGTTTTCATTTAACCGCATTTGTAGAAATGACACCTTGCCACTTCATAGAAATTTCCATTATTCATTTTTACGTTTGTTTATGGTATATGTGTATGACCATACTGTATTTTTATTTAAATATTCACCTATTATGTTTAACAGTTTGGAATTATAAATAATGCTCCTATGAATATCTTTAGGCATGTGTATTTTTGTATTTATGGAAGCAGATCTTCATAGGCCCAGAAGCAGGATTATTGGGTCAAATTTAATATCATATGTAGTTTTGTTAGGCAGTTTGAAACTTTTTCCTGGAAGACTTTTCTAAGTTTTCACTTCCACTAGCCATGTGTGAGAATCGCTGTTTTCTCACATCCCCATTAACAGAATTATGCTGCTTTACTTTAACCATTTGTGCCTGTAGGTGACCTGACACTAACTGATAGTCCCACAATTGTTTTTATATATGCATGTCTAATTGTCATTAAAATTAAGCTTTTTATCATTTGTGAACTGCATTTTTACATTATTGTATGATTATTATTTCACATCTTTTCCTGATTTTTATACCAAATTTCTGGTCCATTGTCTTTCAGTTTTAAATATGTGTGGATAATTAGCACATTTTCCAGTTGTCTGATATGTGTACTGATCTCTGAAATTTTTTAATTGCCTTTTGATATAATTGTGACTTTTATTCTTTGAAATACTTTCATTTTTATGTGACCAAATTGCTTCTTTCTTTGCCTCCAGAATTTGTGTGATATTTAGAAAGCCCTTTCCTATAGTGAGGTTAAAGAAGAGCTGCCATATTTTCTTCAAGAAGCTGTGAGGTACAACTTCTTTTAAAATTATTTTTATTTTATGTTTATGAGTGTTTTGCCTGTATGTGTGCATGTGCATTACGTGTTTGCCTGGTACCATTGGCGTCCAGAAGAGGATGTTGGAATCCATGGAACTGGAGTTATACAGGCAGTTGTGAGCTTCTATGTGGGTGTCAGGAGCTGAACTCAGTCCTCTGGATGAGCAGCATGTACTTTTAACCACTGTTCAACCATCTCTAGCTCTTGGTTTAACTTTTTGTTTAGTTCTTTAATCTATGTTATTATTATATATGTAAATATATAGAGATATATATTTTATAGGCAATTTTATAGATCTGTTTTAAATTTTGTTCTAACTGTTTCATGCTCCCCTTTGCTCTAGTGGTTTTGCATACCACCATTTTTATGCACTAATTTCCATTTGTGTTGACTTTATTTCTAGGCTGTTTAGGCTATTCCATTGGACTGTCTAGTCTTTCAGCTTTTTTTTTTTTTAACTTTATGTGACTGGGTATTTTGCCTGCCTGCATGTCTGTGCACTTGTACATATCTTTTCCCATGAAGGTCATAAAGGGTATTGTATCCCCTAAAATTAAAGTCACAAGTGGTTTGAGTTATCATGTGGATGCTGGGAATCAAAACTGAGTTTGAAAGAGCAGCTTTCAAACTCTCTTACTTAAATGCCGAGCCATCTCTTCAGCTCTTATTTTTCTATTCATATAGAAGTAATGTGATATTATCAATACAGTTTTCTAGAGTTTGTTGCTTTTTTGTTTAGTCTAAGTCCTTTCTCATCTTCCTTCTCACTTGTTGCCTCTTATGTATTCTTTCATGTATGAATTTTACCACCTAGTTGCTTAACTCCAAAAAATATCTGAGGGTATTTTTGCAATTGAATTAAATGTAAATATCAGCTCAGGGAGAACAGACATATTTTTGATACTGAACTTGTCAGGGAAAATAAAATTGCTCTGGCACCCTGAAAATGGGATCCTGAACCCCTGTTTAACCAGACTTCAGGCGCGTCTGCAATTAATATTTTGAACTACACTGTCTAAGTACTCACATATTCACCCACGAACAGGCTGACCTTGGATACTAGCATGCACTTCAACTTTTGAAACAAATCTCACTAGTGTTTGTAACAGTTTGTGACATTATCACCTTTCCTGTGTGAGTCTGCCCAGTCCCTTTCTTACAAGCAAGTTTGACTTTTACTTTAGACAAAAGAATTGCAGTTCCTGACAAAGGGGATGCAATTAAACTCTCTTGCCCCTCATGCTGCAAAAGGAACCCATTTTTCAGAACCTCAGAACATAGTTTTCAGGATTACTTGAATGTTGTCTCCTGAGACTGCAGTCCTAAGAACTTTCAAGTTGATGTAATTCTTCTTCTTTGCCTTTGACCAGGGTAAATTTTATCTCAGTTGGCAAGCTGTTCTTTCCCAGGACCGTGTCTGAGTGTGTACGGGCTCATAGTAAAGTGCCCTAGACTAGGTATGTGACAAGAAACAGAATTTTGTTTTCTGATTTTTTTAATGTTTTTGCCTAGAATTTTACTCGTTTGTATGATATTGCATTGTTTTATATACCTATTTTTATCATTCTATGTTCTGGCGCTTAGCGCCATCTAGTTCATTTTGCCATTTTTTTTTTATGGTAGAAAATGTCTGAATACTCTGATTTTGTTTCTTATATATTACAAGAGTCTTAGTGCCTGCTTTTGTTTCTTTTCTCATCGTTACCAAAGTTTCTGGCAATGCCTCTCTCAGCTCTCTGTTTCCAGTCTTCCCCATAAGCTCTGTGCTTCAAACACTGAGGCTTCAAATGATTCATATCCCTCATTTAATGCCATTCATTTAGTTGTTACCACATATGAATTATACATCTGAGTGGGAGTCACTGTGGTATTTGCACAACTGTTTCTAACTTACTTTTATCATATACAAATACACTTTCTCACTGTCCGTCCTCAGCTTGGCACTCTTTCCACACCCAATGAATCACCAGTCTATTTTCAGTTTGATTGCTTTTTGGTTTTGGAATATTAGAAAAAAAACATTAAGGATTTAAATTGGACCCTTAAGTGGAGTCCATTCTCAAAATGGTAGCTGTTTCCTTTAGCATTAGGAAATAGTTTTTATATTTTAGGCTTATTTGAGACCTCTTTTTTTCTCTGAGGTTTTCTGTTGAGTTCAAGCCCCTAATGATATTTCTTCATTTCTGTCCCATGCAGCTTTTGTTTGTCTGCTTCATTACACCTGTTGTATGGTGATGGAGTAGAACTGGCTGCAATTGTCTTTTTCTCTTCGATAATTGTCACCTTGATGTTTGTTTATTTCCAAGATAATGATGATTATAGCAATATTATGAATATTTACAATTTCTTTTATAATGCTCTGTATCTTTTGAGAGGAAATACACCGTGCCAGGTAGATAGGTAACAGACATTGTCTTCTCCTAACTGATTATTTCTAACATTAGTCTTTCATGTACACACATACACATTTGTACATACACATATGCATGTACACACACATTTACACACACACACACACATGTATACTCGAAACAATCAGTTCTTAATCTATGTCCATAGTAGACATCTCTAGAAGTAGTTATCAGTTTCATAAAAACTTATTCTGCATGCGACTAATATATTTTCTACATTGCTCTCATTTGTTCTAAAGAAGAGTCTGAGGGTGTCCTCTCAGGACTTCTAAGTGTCTTCCATCCTGATGCAGGCATATGATGATGGAAGAGAAGGACCCATCCTCACTGTTGGATCTTGCTATACAGAGTCTATTGAGCAATGAACCTGTTGCAATTCATTCCCTGGAGGAGATCCCAAGGGAGCTTTTTATTCCATTGTTCTCTGCTGCCTTCATGGGAGGATATAGGAAGACACTGACAGCCATGGTGAAAATTTGGCCTTTTACCTGTCTCCACATTGGAACATTGAGTGTGCAGGAACCCCAGCGTGAACTCCTGAAAGCCATGGTGGAAAGTTTTCAGTTCCTACCTGTCCAAAACTCAGCTTCTAGGTAAGAGCCTGTATAATAGAGACATGGCAAGACACGGGAGGTTACACCATAGCCTGCTGCTCTTTCAAAGGTAGTAAATAGTGAATGCTGAAGATTTATGTGTGCGGCTGTTGGCGCAATACTTGGTAAAACACTAAAGGCTGATAATATAGACCATGTTCATTATGAAATTCATGTTATTGAGGGTACTATTGATGGAGTTACATAGCAGGTGTTACACATAGGAGAATGGCTCCAACTTTAAGATTGGAGAGGATTTAAGGATAATAAAAGATGGGGAAACTAATTAAAAGATGTTAAATTCTCATGATAGCGAACTTGTTTGGCATTTGGCATCAAGAATGCAGAGTAAGTCCCTACATGTCATTGTCGACCCTGTAGGTTTACATTAAAATTTGCATACCTCTAAGATGTTCTGTCTCCTCTTTTCCCTACAGGAGCCCTAAACTGAGGATCCTAGATGTAAGGCAGGGTATTGACTGCAGGACAACATGCCCCGAATTTGGTATCAGATCACCTACTTGCTTTCATGGCTGTACTCACTCTGTACACTCTATTCTGAAGTTAGAAAGTCAGTGCAGCATTGTAGATTCAAGACCTGAGAGTCAGCCCTCAAGGCAGCCTATGGAATTACTAGTGGACCTATCCCTTGATGGCACCTCGAGAGAAAGGGAATTTTTTGCTTTGCTTCTGAATAAAGTTGAGCAGAGCTCGGGGTCCTTGCACCTCTGCTGTCGAGATTTGCAGATTGATAAATTTTCATACGCCAGAAACACTCTGAAGTTTCTAGATCTGACATGCATTCACAACCTGGCAGTTGATCAGGCTTCACTGAGTGAAGTCACTACCCTTTTGGCTCACATGATCTATCTGGACAGCCTTAGTCTGTCTAAAATCACTTGTAGGTCTTTGCACGGGAAAGTCTTCAGAGTGTTTCTCAGCTATCTAGGGCGCATGAACTGCCTGAAAGAGCTCAACTTGTCGTCCTTCAGCCTCACAGATCATCTGGCCAGCCTACTCAGGTGAGAACGTGGGGTATGCACCTAGGTCTCCTGAACCTCCTGTCTCTTAACACGGGGGAGAAAGGAATCCTGGGAAGTCCTGAGATTCTTAAAACTCTTTATGCCTTCTGTCTCTGGCCAAAAAGTCTCTTTCATAGTCTGAGGGGTGCTGTTCCAGAAGCGTCAAGGTGAAAAAAAGAAGGCAGCCCTCCTTCTGGCCATCGAGAGATGAAGAGGGGGAACTGAGAGAAAGATTTTATGTTGTGGTAGAGGTGCACATATTCACATAACTATAGACAGTAATGTCCCATCATTAAGAAATTCTCCAAACTTCAGACCATGACCGGAGAAGCTGTCATTTATGGTCTGAACAAAGGGAGCTTCCAGTAGGTTGCTCCTTCTGTCCTACCTCTTTCTGAACAGGTGAACTAGCTCCCCCTTTGATTACATTGTAATTACTAAGTAGATAATATTTTCCACTAAATCTTTGGCACAAATTTCTTTATTAACATACTGTTAAAATTTTCAAGAATACACATTTCATGTGAGAATAGAAAAGTAACTTTTCAGGGTCACAAATCTGTTGACTGAATTCAAGCTTGTATTGTTAGCTGCTGCTACGTATTGTGTGTGAAACAGTTAGATTCCTCAGACGATTTCCCGTCATCTGAGTGCCGTTCCATCTTTCTTTTCTCTCCACAGAGCCTTGCCACCTAACTTGGATTTCTTGTATCTGCCGTTCTGTGAAATTTCTTACCGAGATCTCAAATTTCTGTCCCAGAGCCCTCAGGCCACCCACCTAAAACTGTTGAATCTTAGTAACAACGCAATGTATTGGGACGACTGTGGGCCCCTTCAGATTCTTTTGCAGAAACTCTCAGATACCTTGCAGCACTTGGCTATAAATCATTGCCATTTAACAGATGCTGCGCTCGCTGCTATCCTTCCAGCCCTAACTAAGTGTTCCCATCTCCGTGTGATTAGCTTTGTCTCTAACCCCATTACGATGCCGATGCTTATGAGAATCCTTCATTACTTAACACCCTTGATGGAGCTGAAATATGTGATTTATCCTATCCCTTTACATTGCTATGAACAATGGCATGTTCATGGCAGCTTAGACCGGCAGAAGGTTGCTGATGTCCAAGCGCAACTGAAGGCGATGCTACAAGCAGCAAAGCGGAGTGACATGAACTGGATCACTTATTCTCAGTAAATCTCCAAGTTCAACCCAGTTTCACCCCTAATATGTTACTTGTTAAACATTCAATGTTCTTTTCTGGAGCTCCCACAATCATATGTAAGATTCCTATGTTATAGAAACCTATAGTTAGGAAATAGGGACATGTAACTGATAGTTATAAAGCAGTAACGCTAAGAAGAAAATGGAGAACTTTGAGAATTCCTGTGTGTGTCTCTTTTTGTTCTTCATCTTACTTCATCTTACTACTTAGATATTGGGTATACGATATGCCATGGCTACATCATGGTATACTGTCTATTTCATTCACTTGTGGATATTTAACACAGTGTAATACCATTGCAACTTTTCCTGAATGCGTTTGTCTACTGGGAGGTGTCCTTGAAGACAAAGCCTTTTGCCTTCCCACCAAGTTACTTTTGATTTCTCATATGTCAGATTCTCTTGGGATCTTTTTATGGTGCCATCTGGAATTAAGAGTGAGGAAAATACTCTATACTCATAACACATGGATTCATTCAGCTATATTGTTACCCTTTCCCAAGTTTCAGACTACTGAGGCACAGTTTTTCTTTATTTCATACATCAAATATCTATTTTGGATATTATTCTTCATACTGAGAATTTAAATGTAAATAAGACAAATTTCCTATATGAAACCATTCAGAATCCAGGTGTGTATATATTTTATTTGTCCTTTGCCATTTCTTAGACTGCCACTTAGCAAAATTATTTTACCATTTTGAACCCTAAATTTTGCTTTTCTTGTTCTTGTGATGCTCTCTGCTCAATGCAAAGTAAACATCACACTGTTGGATATCTATCCAATAGTTTGTGGCTTAACTCTCAACTTCTCTAAGAACTTATTCTCTCATGTCCATTAGTGGGATTTCTGACATGCAATATACCTGAGACAATTGACTTGTAAGGAGGAAAAGTTTACTTCTTACTTGTCTTAGTTTTATTTTGTGATTGGCTAGTACCATCATTTTGGGACTTGGGCAAGGTAGGCACAACATGGTAGAGAGTCTGTGGTACAGAGAAAAGGTCTCACTACACGAGGGCCAAGAAGCAGAGAGAAAAATGTGATACTAGTATACCGTAAGTCAAGCGCACGTCTAATGAATTATTTCCTTGAATAGGCCCACTACAAAGCTTCTACTTCACCCCAAAGAGTCATTAGTGGGGACCGAGATTTATCACCTGAACTTTAAAGAGAACACTTAGAAGTCCATCCATAATACTTTCTATGCTTCTTCTAGTTATTTCTTTTCTACCCATTTCAGTCACTCAATGCATCAGATGCATTTTCTACATGGGATGGACCATCCCCTAAGTATTCACTATTACTTCTTTTTGATAATTGCTGCCTTATCAGCCATCTACATTCTTACTACATGTAAGGAGTCCTAGACAACCAAAACTTAGTAAGAAGCAAATAGTATAAAATCAGTATTTAGTAGTTTAAAGATGTCATTGTGTTGATATCATAACACAATGCACTCCAAAGACATAGCAAAAATACATAAGCTTAATATTTGTTCTCAGTTGAAATGCCAACACCATTGCATTTCAATGGCATAGTAAGAAAAATAGTTGGAAGTTCATAATAGTTATTGCATAGTGCTTTCTTGTTGAGATATTGTAGACTGCATCTTAAAGACAAAAAAGTTCAAACAATAAATGCCAGCTTTATATTATCTTTGTATTAAAGGGCAGCATGATGTATTTCAGAACGACTTGGAAAAACTGTTAAACTAATTTCAACTGTTTCATTGTTAGTTGAATGACCTGCTCTTAGTAGTCATACTAAACTTTTAATGTAGATCAAGTAAGTAAACTTTTAAAGAGATCAAGTAAGTCATATAAATTTCTTTTTACTGGTTCTAGTTTTATTAATTACAGATTACATTTCCAAGTTAGGAAGAATGACATATTCAAATGACATTTAATTCACATGTAGCATTTCCTTTTTGATATAGTATTTCTTTTTTATTGATTTTATTGAACTATACATTTTTTCTGCTCCCCTCCCTTCCTCTCTCTTTCCCTTCAACCCTCTCCCAGAGTCTCCATGCTCCAAATTTACTCAGGAGAGCTTATCTTTTTCCACTTCCCATGTAGATTAGATCCTTGTATGTTTCTCTTGGGGTCCTCATTGTTGTCTAGGTTCTCTGGGATTGTGAATTAATTGTAGGCCAGTTTTCTTTCCTTTATGTCTAAAAGTCACTTATAAGAGAGGACATATGATGTTTGTCTTTCTGGGTCTGGGTTACCTCACTCGATATGTTTTCTTGATCCATCCATTTACCTGGAAATTTCAAAATGTCATTTTTTTCTGCTGCATAGTACTCCACTAAATAAATGTACCGAATTTTTTTTTTAATCCATTCTTCGGTCGAGGAGCATTTAGGTTTTTTTCCACATTCTGGCTACGATGAACAATGCTGCGATGAATATAGTTGCGCACATGTCCTTGTGGTACCATTGAGCATCCTTTAGGTATATACCCAAAAGTGGTATTGCTGGGTCTTGAGGAAGATTGTTTCCTAGTTTTTTGAGAAATCACCATACTGATATCCAAAGGAGCTATACCAGTTTGTACTCCCACCAGCAATGCAGGAGTATTCCCTTTACCCCACATCCTCTCCAACATAAGCTGCCATCAGTGTTTTTGATCTTGGCCATTCTTACAGGTGTAAGAGGGAATCTCAGAGTTGTTTTGATATGCATTTCTCTGATGGCTAAGGGTGTTGAGCATTTCCTTTAGTGTCTTGGTATGGGAGGTCCTTCTGGCTATTTGTTGCTTTTATTGGTTAATGAATAAAGAAATTGCCTTGGCCTATTGATAGGGAAAAACTTAGGTAGGTGGAGAAAACTGGATTGAATGCTGGGAGGAAGAAGGCAGAGTCAGAGAGATGCCATGGAGCTGCCAGAGTCAGACATAAGAATCTTTGCTGGTAAGCCACTGCCACGTGACGATATACAGATTAATAGAAATGGGTTAAATTAAGATGTAAGAGTTAGCCAATAAGAAACTAGAGTTAATGGGCCAAGCAGTGTTTTAATTAATATAGTTTCTGTGTGGTTATTCTGGTTCTGGGTGGCCGGAGCAAACCAGCAGCTTCCTTCTACAGTGTCTTTCAGCCATTTTAGATTCATCTGTTGAGAGTTCTCTGTTTAGGTCTGTACCCTATTTTTTTCTGGATTATTTCTTCTTTTGATGACCAATTTCTTGAGTTCTTTGTATATTTTGGAGATCAGTCCTTGGTCCGATGTGGGGTTGGTGAAGATCTTTCCCCATTTTGTAGGCTACTGTTTTGTCTTGTTGGCCATGTTCTTTGCTTTACAGAAACTTTTCAGTTTCAGGAGGTCCCATTTATTAATTGTTTTCCTCTGTGTCTGTGCTACTGGGGTAATATTTTGGAAGTGGTCTCCTGTGTCAATGTGTTTACATTCTCTTCTATGAGGTTCAGTGTGGCTGGCTTTATGTTGAGGTCTTCGTTCCATTTGTACATGAGTTTTGTGCATAGTGATAGATATGAATCTATTTTCATTCTTCTACATGTTAATATCCAGTTATGCTAGCACATTTTTTAAATATGCTTTTTTCCATTTGATATGTTTTGCTTCTTTGTCAGAAATCAGCTGTTTGAAGGTGTGTGGATTAATATCCGGGTCTTCAGTTTGGTTACATTGGTCCTCCTGTCTGTTTTTATGACAATACCGGGCTGTTTTCAGAGTACTGTAGCTCTAGTAGAATTTGAAGTCAGGGATTGTGATGCCTCCAGAAGTTTTTTTTTTACTGTACAGGATTGTTTTGGCTATCCTGTGTTTTTTGCTTTTCCATATGAAGTTGAGCACTGTTCTTTCAAGGTCTGTAAAGAATTCTGCTGGGATTTTGATAGGTATTACATTGAATCTGTAGATTGCTTTTGGTAAGATTGCTCTTTTTACTATGTTAATTGTACCTACCCAAGAGCATGGGAGATCTTTCCACTCTCTGGTGTCTTCTTCAATTTCTTTCTTCAAAGATTTATAGTTATTGCCATGCAAGTTTTCCACTTGTTTGGTTAGACTTACTCAGAGATATTTTATGTTATTTGTGGCTATTGTGTAAGGTGATGTTTCTCTGATTTCTTTCCCAGCCCATTTGTCATCTGTGTAAAGGAGGGCTACTGATTTTTTATAAGGGAAAATTTTGTATCCTGCTACATTATTGAAAGTGTTTATGGGTTATAGAAGTTCCTTGGCAGAATTTTTTAGGTCACTTGTGTAAACTATCATATCATCAGTAAATAGTGAGAGTTTGACTTCTTATTTTCTGAATTGTATCCCTTTGATCTCCTTTTGTTGTCTTATTGCTCTAGCTAGGACCTCAAGACCTATATTTAATAGATATGGAGAGAGTGGACAACTTTGTCTTGTTCCTGATTTCAGTGGGATTGCTGTGAGTTTCTCTCCATTTAGTTTGTTGTTGGCTGTTGGCTTGGTGTATATTTCCTTTATTACATTTAATATATTCCTTGTATTCCTGCTCTCCCCAAGACCTTTATCATGAAAGGATGTTGTATTTGTTGAAGGCTTTTTCAGCAACTAATGAGATGATCATGTGGTTTTTATTTTTCAGTTTGTTTATATGGTGGATTACATTGACAGATTTTCATATGTTGAACCATCCCTGCATCTCTGGGATGAAGCTGACTTGATCATGGTGGATGATGGTTCTGATGTGTTTTTGGATTCAATTTGCTGGTATTTGATTGAGTACTTCTATGTCAATGTTCATGAGTAAGATTGGTCTGTAATTCTCTTTCTTAGTAATGTCTTTGTGTGGTTTTGGTATCAGGGTAATTGTAGACTCATAAAATGAATTTGGCACTGTTCCTTCTGTTTCTATTATGTGAAACAATTTGAGAAGTATTGGTATTAGTTTTTTTTAAATATTGTAGAATTCTGTGCTGAAACCATCTGTTTATGGACTTTTTTTGGTTGGGAGACTTTTGATGACTGTTTCTATTTTTTTTAGCAGTTACAGGTCTATTTAATTTGTTCATCTTGTCTTGATTTAATTTTGGTAAATGGAATTTATCCAGAAAGTTGTCCATTTCCTTTAAGTTTTCCAATTTTTTGGAGTACAGATTTTCAAACGATGACCTGATAATTCTCTCGATTTCCTACATGTCTGTTGTTATGTC